TGTGACTGTACTGAGTGTTTCGAATTAATTTTCCTGATACTTGACTGCTCTTGAGCTGAACGAATGGAAGAGAAACGTACGCAATCTAGCGTCATTTGATGCAGAGGCAGCATATACCCCCAGGTAAAAGTACTTCACTTCGTTGCGTAAATTTGTCGCATGCCGTCGTTCAGTTTTTGACCTTATATTTTTTCGTCAATATTATTGACGACTTTCACATAAATGAAATGAAAATTATTAGTAGTATTTAAATTATGACAATTATTGCAGTTTGTATTTGATATTCTCTCAAAATTAAACAATCCTCTCATCGAGAGAATCCTTGCAGCAGGACTGTTTTACTCCAACACATGATTGAAAATGTCTACACACTTTGTCACGCTGTAGATCGGAGTGGCATCGTAGTCTCTCATCGATTCGTGAGTGGCACCGTAGGCCTCGAATTAGGATCAAAGTAGATCAGCTGTTGGTCTGGGAATGATGTGCAGGTGGAAAGATTTAAACGTTGATATTCTGTATCCGACAAGACAAGATTAAATAAGGCACCTAATTTTGCTGAAGTACACATGAAGTAAACCGTTAACGTGAAATACAATAAATTTTCGATAATCAATATCATCGACAATTTTAGAGCAACTGACGAGTCATCTATACATGGAATTTTTTTTCCGATATTTACAGTGGCATCAACGTTATACGAGTACGATCAACATTGAAGTTGTACATGCTCGCGTGTTAGACTCATGTGAATGTACTGTCCTACAGTGCATATTAAAAGTGTTTATGCCTTAATAATTTGAACGCTGCCTGACGTGGCTTTTAAAGTAAATTGTTCGTCGTTGATTTATTTGTTTGTCACAAGCGTCCGCTTCCTGGCAGCGAGCACTTCGAGCAGTCATGCATGCGTTCCTGTATGTTCATGTCCACGTTCTTCTGCTACATTTACATTTAGCATAAGTTTGTGTATTAATTTTTGCAACGCCTTCATTCCATTAATACCTTAGTATCGGTAGTACCTCCATTGACAGTGTCACACTGGAAAATTGAATAGATTTTAATTCGTTTTTTATTGCACGAACGCGTAAAGAGAACTAGCTGCTTGGTTTATGGTTTTAGGCGTAAAAAATTCGTATTATTTTATTGGGTATTTCAATTCGTTATTTTTCATTGAAACAAAATCGAATCGAACGCCTAATACAAAGAATGGTTTCCAGTTTGTAAAGTTTGTCGACTGCTGGGTAAGCCGTGCGGTGTTTGCCACAAGCTGTGCTCTTTGCTTGCTAATTGTACTCGTTGTTGGATTGTTCTGACATTGTGGAGGACAAGCGAGCTCTGCCGTCGCGCATTTCCTGTACAAGTTTAAAGAGAAAATGAAGTTCAGTTTTTTTTAAATCTTGCTCATTCGAGGCTTTTCTCGGCGTTGCCGTTTTATTTCCTCTAAAAAAACATTCCATAAGCCTTTCATGCACTACAGGCCTAATTCTATGCTTAGACGACGTGATCCGTGTAATTTTTCCTAAATCACTACAGTAACTCTTGAATTAATTACTGAATTGTATTTTTAATTTTTCAATATCTTGAATCCAACGCCATATTAATTATTTTACTTGCAAGATACGCCATTTGTATATATTCGGTACGATTTGTGTATGGATTCGCTACGATTATTGGAATCTTTTGCGACTTGAAATGGAAGGAGAGTATATATGGCGTGTTTCTCGAAGCCATGGCTATTTTCCTCTACTATAGAGTTAGCGTGCTTCTCCCAATCAATGTGTCGGCCTGGTCCCCTCTCCCCCATGTCAGTAGCCTGTCATCTTAGTTCTGTGACCCACTGACACACTTTTCTAATGCCCTAAACTTATTCTTCATTCTTGAAGCTCATATACTGAGTTTTATGTGATGAAATTGATCTGGTGGTTCAATATTGTACGACTAACTCGGCTGTTGCGATCAAGGTTGTGTTCACACGATGATGGATGGGTCGGTGTCACGTCGCTCATCTTCACGACCATCACTCTTCATTCATCAAGAGCAACTCAGCATTCATGTGACCACTCAGTCCTCTGCTAATAAATTTCATTCGGGAGATTATGAGTCATCCCCTATCGTTCCTAGAAGACACATTTTCAAGTCTAGAAATTATTTACAGATCTTACAAGGTTTAACTTTTCCTACTTCCCGGAATTTCCGCTGTTCTGAAGTACTAATTATTTGTTGCGCTTTTTGTTTTTCCCATACGTGGGAAATGCAGGGATTTAAATGGCCAGCTAGCAAGAACTTAGTGTAGTCTCTTTTTTTCTAATTTAACGTAACCATTAGTGGAAGCATGCTATATAGCACAACCCTGGCAGCTCAACTCTGAAATCCTATATATAATGTCATCATATTTTACATTAGCAATTCCACTTACGTGGTTATGACGCCGTTGTCATTCAACACGATCATATTTAGGAGATAATTTTAGGCGAATTCTGGCGGACTTCCGAGTAGGTGCGGAAGCGGCGGCAACCGCACGCCAAGGCCACGCCCACACCGCAACCGCCGCTGCTGACGCCGGAGCCGCTGCTTCCTGCGCTCCAGCATCCCTACTTCTGTTGTTCACTTGTAATTCATTTTTATCCCGTGCTGTGGCCGTTGTCATCGACTCGTAACGATGAATTGACTACGATGACCATTTTTTGGGTGGTAATTACTCTGAGAAAATTAATTCCTAGTGACATTAGATTTTATTTAATCAACTTGCGTGAATTTTCATACTTTCTCATTTTTGCTTTCATTCCACGTGATTGATTTGTCATGAAAATTTTTAATGATTAACATTCCCAGCGTTTATTGATTACAATTTAATTCATTATTTTAACTTGAAATAATATTTGGCTAGTCGGGCCATGTAAGCCGTCACTGCTAATTGGTGATTCATTTTGCATTAAACTTCGATCAACAATAGTTTGTTACGCACAAAAGTATATGAAAAAACTACAGATATCTTGGTGTATCTCGATTTCATTTTTAATTAATGGATTTGTTTATTTTTCATACAACTGTTTTTTGTATCCCTCTAATTTGTGCTCGTATTTTCAATTCATCGCGCCTCAAAACTTGAGTTTTAATGAGTCCTTCTTCGTGAGAACTTGATGACATTAATCAGAACAAGTGACGTTAATATATGCGACGTTCTCTTATTGACCTCAGCTGGTGCACGTCTCCCTCGCCCCGACCCTCGCGGCACGAGGAAGCGCGTGCCAAGGGCTGCGGTGGCGGCGGCCTAGGAATGCCTCTGCAGGCTGCAATTAAGCAACATTTGACGCCGCTGTCGCCGATGTGTTACGCTTATTATGTCTTGTGTTGCTCCAGTAGCATTGTGTCCCGGAAGTCTCCGTAAAAAAAGACGTCTATCAACTGTGTGGCTAGTTTGACTTTTTTTTTGCAACAAGTCTTTTGATTTTTTCGCTATTACGTTTCCAGTTTGAGATGATGGTCTTAATGTATGAACCCTCATAATGACGGTAATGTTTATGTTCTGTCCGCATTATTTCAGTGGGTTGTCGAAACGTTTTTTGAAGACGTAACCTAATAAATTAATCTAGGCGCATGTACATCCATTAGGATACTAAATCCATGTCTCGTATCGTAACCGATGAAGAATTTGTTTTAGAAGTCAATTTGTCAGTTGATGTCAATCATAGTTATAAAACAGTACCTTTAATTTCTATGATGCGCATTAGTATCTTTATGTCAGAAATTACCAAATCGATCTTTCATCTATCAGAGCTATTTTTACATGTACGACTAATCACGTGGAGTTTGCTATTCCTTTTAGAACTAAGGTATGTTATCCTAAGCCTTGAAATTCCGTGTGCGTTCGCAAACGATGGCATGCAAGCCACATTAAAGTTGCTGCAATTTACGCCCGTACAGTCGCTCCATGCGCCAGTCTAGCCGAACTCGCTGTCTGTTCCTCCAGCAGTCTGCTTGTGACCTCAGCGCTGTCAACACCTCGTATTACTCGGCTCTTGTAGTCTGACAACTAACTTACTTTTCTCGTCCCTAAGCCGAACTAGTTACGTTTAAATTCAGTGAGTGAGTTTTTCAATTATACCGACAACATTGACTATGCTAATATATTTTCTACGACTAATAACGAATTCGTTCAAGATTTTTATTTTTAAAATTTTTGGTTATTAGACTGTGCTCCAACTTTCGACATAAGCACACTTTACAACATTTTAGAAAGATAATTCCAGGCACCTGTGCTCTCTTTCCATTATACCTGCATTTTGAATAGATGCAACGCGCCCTTAAATTTTAATAAGCCTAAAGCATTATGCCGTTTTATTCTATTGCTGTCACTTTCCGATTTCAAAACATTTCATTATTTTTAACCTTATATTAAGCCTTGTTTTTAGCTGTGAATTTAATATTTTTTAATAATCCTGGAGCTATTTATAGCGCACGCCTCAAGTCTTGTGTATGTTTTTGCAGTAACAAATATTTTCCTACTCGAATTTTGATAAATAGTGAACCCATTTAGCCGGATAATTTGTTGAAACCCAAACGACAATTTTCTATCACATTTCCTTTGAAGACATGTAATCACTTGCTTATCCACTTTTTGTCACTTGAAAATTATAATCTGTTTATTCTTCAAATGATTGAAGCAGTATTCATTTTAGTATGTGGCTCGAAAAAAAACGACACCTAGAAGCCTGTTTTAAGATATCGATATAAAATTTAAATCAACTAAAATTAGATTCACTTATCCATCGTTACAAGCGTCACTTAGTCTCCCTACGGATTCAATAAATATTTTCAGTTCCTAACTTATGTGTGTGGGTTATTCTTTGATGTCTCATCATTGGTCATGTGTTGGTCTGCAATTAATATAATACAACGATAATAAGTTCCGTTCAGATCCCTGTTGAACATTTACATGGATCAGTCAAATAACTTTTTTAAATGTAAGTAATGAACCAAATGTACGATGTATTGCCCTTCAGGTGCTGCTGTACCGCGGTCGCATCCACCTGCTGAGTCCGTCTGTTGTACCGTCAGCCGAACCGTCCGCCGTCCTGCCCATCATGGACGCCGTCAAAGCTGTCACGTCTCGTCCATCTGAGACGCTAGCGTCGCCCCTCATCCAGGAGGCTATCGGCCTTAGGCTTAAAGAGTCAGTATTCATGATTTAAAGTCTGTATTTTGTTCTACTTGGGCAATTCTAGTTAAGCAATATTGTTGTAGAATTAGAATGAATTAATACTTTGAATTTGAATTAATACTTTGAATGAATTAGTACTTTGAATACTTTGAATTAATTATGAATAAATAATTTGAATTGAATTTTAAGAAAAGTCGCAAAACTGAACGCATTGCGATGTTTTAATTTGATGGTCTATGCTTTTCAACGTTTCTTGTATTTTCTATGAAGCATAATATCCTGCAAAAACAGATATTTTTCTTCGATTATTTTTTGCATGTCTACTTTTTTAATGTTGAGACGAGAATCAACGCGCTTCAAAAAAATCTTATTTTTCGTCGGCTAGAATTTCCGACTGTAGGTACTGCTGCGTCATTTTTCATTTTTTTATACGAGTCCAGTGTGGCGAAAAGCTGTTACTGTAATTAAGGCAGACGATACCATTCAGTTTTTTTTCTCCAATCTTCTCAGATTTTGAATTATCTTAGAGTAAGCCGGAAATATACCCGTTGCACATTACACTAAGGTCGACGCAAATTTTATATTTTTTACCGAATTTCAGGGTCTTGCAACAAAGTAGGTGACCTCGAACTTCTGTGCTGCGTTGTAGCTGTGCATATATAGGCCCAGTTTAGTTCGGGTCAATTTCCCGTAGAGTGTGTATTTAGGTCGCCGTTTATATGTAATGACTTATCATTATTCTCTAAATTCAATCTTACATTTTGATTAATTGTTTAAGCTAAATCTTTAAGCTTTAGCTTTGCCTGGTGTAGTGAAAAATTGTTCACGTTTGTTCTTTGTTGCTTCGAGAAATTCAGGCCTTTTATCAAGTAAATAACGATTCTTCCATGTTGAAGAGTTTTTAAATAATTGTACCTATATCCTGACAGGACTGTAAAGTTTAGTAACAGGTTTAAGGTTCTTTGTCTCAGTCACTGTGGTCTTTAATAGATCATATTTTCTATTGGACAACTAATCCTGATCGGCAGCAATGTTCCCATCGGATCACTTCCTGACGTCTTTTTTTCGTCCGTAGAGAAACAGGATACTGGCATCTACGTCGTTGCCTTATAAAGTCAAGTTAGTTTTTGGTATAAATGCCTGGTCGGGATACGGAGCAGTTTTCACTTGTTCTATGTGTAATTTTCTTAACCTCGTTTTCCCAGTTTTTTCATTATTGGCCTTTCAACTCGAAATCGGAATATTGATAAAGACAATTTTACTTTCAGTGCGCGTATTGTTATGCTCATGAGTCATTCTATTCTGGTACCGCTTCCTAGTTTCTGTGAAATGTTTGGAAATGTTGTTTGTGAAAAAAGTTCCTGAGAAAATTAAGTCAGCCGATGAGGGCCAATAATGGAATTAAACCTGAGAATATTTATACTGGACATTTGATTAACTGTCGAAACGTCTTCACCGTATTAGAGGTTCAAATGCAACTGCGTGGAGGCTTTGTTACATCTAAGAATTCTTACCGTGTTAGTTATGAAAGAAAAACGTATCATCTTATAATCGGTGAACTCATAATCAAATTGAAAGATTTTTTTATTTCTGGTCGAGAGAAATCTTAAAGCAGTGAAGTAGTGTTCGGTGAGGTGATGATGATACTTTAATCCTCAGTTTGCAGATCTTCAATTAAGACTATTATCGCTTATTGAAGCTTAAAATCAGAGGAAAGTAAACCTATATCATAATTTCTGCCACTTAGACACGGGGGTAAGTTTGTACAAGTTTTATGTTGACAGTTACCCCGGGCGCGTGCGTCGGGAGCAGCACGTGGCACACGCTTACGTGCCGGTGGGCGTGGCGGCGCTGCTGCGGGAATATCCTACTTTGGTGGCCCCCGCCGTCACCGCCTTCTGCAGCAGGGACCAGATGGACTTGAAGGTGCGTTATTCTGATGTACGCGTCTCTTATTTCTGACTCTCCAGAATCGTCTGCTTAGTTACCTGCCCCTTATTATTTTTATTTTGTTTTCCTAGTCATTTCCGTCCAATATCACGATTCGTCGCAACATGCTACCCTTTTCAAATCTGTAACGGGCCGCATAAACTTTGAGATTCCGATAGGCCATCTTAGAAATTTCGTATTTTAGTTTTCGACGTAATTCAAATAAAAATGAACGTTATTTATTTCTCAGTTCATTTTCCATCACTTCAGTAAGCAGGTCATCTTCCTCGTTGGGTTGGCTTTGCATTATTAATTTCATCATTTCTAACGGAAACCATCGGAACCATGAGAAACATTCGAAATTTTGTCAATTTTATAATCACAATTCATGCAAAATATTTATCATTGGCTTTAGCTAGTTTAGATTTACGAATTTATGAATTAGTTCGTGTGAGATCTGCCTCTGAAGTATGCCTTGTGCGGTCGACGCGCTGCTGTAGCCCCGCGTTCCACGAACGCAGCCGTCCTGTTGTGCGTATCGCGTGGCTTCAAATGATGCGTGACGGAAGTGAGAGCGTGCGAGGCGTTGGCTGGATTATAGACTAGGAACTCTCGTGAAGGAAGTGCTCAGCTGGTCCTTCCTTCCCGTTGGACCGAAATTGTTAATTTATTTTATATTATCAACATGATTGAAAGAAACCAACAAACACTATCTTTAGTTATACTACCATGAGATTAGTATTGCATGGAGACTTGCCAGCAGATATTTACTAATTCCATAATTATTGAAGATAAATTTTTCGTGAATGTTGTTGGCATCGTGTATAATCAGGTACCCTGAAGTTCTTGAATTGTTGTACCCACGTACTCGCACTCGTCGTAAATATCTCGACGTAACCCGTAGCGCTCGGGACAAATTAACAAGTTGCGTGATGGTCCAATTGCATCATTAAAAATCGTAGCCGTGCCACGTTCAAAGCCTAATTCTCGCTGATTCCAGTTCTTTTTAAACTTTGGTAAATCGTATGATACATGATTGTTTGCTTGGTGCTGACTGCTTGTCTGTATTTGTTTCATGACGCTACATTTTACCTCGTGTAACTATCGCCATCATTACAGGCACTGCGTGTTATGAGGCACTTCCCGCCGGAGCAGCGCGTGATGACCGCAGTGAAGTTCAGTAAGGCTCTCTATGCCAAGCTTCAGGCCTCGCTCTACACGCCCGATCATAAGACCGGCTGGAACCTGCCGCCCCTCTCCCACAAGGAGCACAAGCAGCACCTGCTCGGTGTTAAACTGGTGCGTGTGATGAACGCGTTGAAGTGGGGCTTGCCTGCGTGTGTTCGCGAGCTTAGCTGTGTATGTTGCATGTGTTGAAGTGGGAGCTTACCTGTGTGTTTTGAACGCGCGGAATGGGGGCCTAACTGTGTGTGTTGATAGCATGAAAGAAGCTTACCTGTGTGTGTTGAACGCAGTGAAGCGAATCATACCTGTGTGTTGAATGTGTTGTAGGGGGGCTTAGCTGTGTTTGTTAGCGCCTTGAAGGCGAGCTTACCTGTGTGAGACAACCTCTTCTCTGTCAGGGAGGACTGCTCCCACCCTATCTGGTGCGTTCACTAGTAGGTATTACTTTTGTGTGTGTTGAACGCGTTGAAGCGGAGGTCACCTGTGTGAGAGGTATGAAGAAATAGAGTCAGCTTAATAAATCAGCCTTATGAAAATTGAATTCAATACATGCAACTTTGTTATTTTATGTTTTAATAGGGAGCGCCTAAATTTTGAGTATTGACTATCATTCTAACGTTCACGGTTGTTTCATGATTATTTTTTCTATTCCAATTTTAGACTGTAAAGTATAATTGTTTACCTGATTGGATCTTGTTCTTAAATTTGTTTCTCTTTGTGATTGTATTATACCGGAGATTGTCTTCATTTAGTGCGGTAATTTTTGTACAGGCGTGCGGCTTTGAGTTGCTGGTTTGTAACGCTGGTGGTGTGACGCCGCTGAGCTCGCCGTCAGAGCAAGCACCTCCTGAGACCGTCACGGCTAACCCTCGCTGGGGACGCTATAAGAAAACTCTCACTGAACGCGGCTACTTCAGGGTGAGCGAAGGGTACTTAGTCACCTTCTTGACCACTAAAGCAACTAGCAACCTTACCTTCTAAGGTTTTAGCTACAACTCGCACGAAAACTGACTTTCTGTACGTTTATCCTGACCTGAAATGTTGTTCGTCTATATATAGGTAAATATTTGAAAGTATTTTCAGATTAGTACGGATAATTTCATATTGGTGAAGCCATATTTTAGGTTTCATTTCAGTATTTTTAACTAAACTTTAGATATATAGTACTGTATTCTATTTCATTCAGCTGAACATGTGTTATATAGGTACTTTATTTCAATTCATGTCGTATGGTATTTAGTGGAATTGTATTTTGTTCCTGCTTATTCATAATCATGATTTTTCCCCAGGGTGAACTAGAAGGCTCTAAGCTATATAAGGAGCTGGAAAGCAACGCCTCACGTTATTTCAGCGAGCATCTGCTGAAGAAGGATCCTAACTCGGACGCTAGCATGGACACGCTCTCCGCAGGGGCCGTTGTCATCAAGCTGCTGCCCTCTGTCAACGCCGATCTCGACTTCTTCGTCGAGCGTCAGAACAGACTTGTTCCTGCTGATGGTGCGTAACTTCATTGTTCGAATGATCATGTGGGACAAGCTCGTATGTGGACGCTTGCGTGAAGAGTCATTCTCCTGGACTTTATTGTAAGATTCTTAATTGGTCTTAGATGAATGAATTATTCTGTGAAGCCTAGCGCTAAGACCACTGCTATGGATAATCGGCACGCTTTCAATTGAATCATTGTAAGCTGACAATAATGAAAAATAATATAATGTGTGCACTTGACCAGTATTGGGTAACTCAAGCCCCCGATTAATCAATGGCATTTCCAATAGCATAAAAATTTTTAACACTAGTCTACATGGCTCAACTCCGAGGTTTTTTCCTCATCAAACTTGACTTTTCTTTTCTCCTACAGATGACTCTTGGCTCACGATCACGCCGGAACTGTTGGATGAAGAACTTCAGAAACGCTACGGTAATTCTGAGAGTAATCCCGCGTCCACGGACGAATTGCAGGCCGACTTGCAGGCGCTGATGACCCACCAGTCAGACTACGAAGGCGTCGAAATGCCTCAGGACCTGCAGGAGCGGCTGCGAAAGTTGTCGACCATGTCGCTGCCGCGGCGTAAACAATCGCAGTCCGCCTCGCGTAAAGCGTCTCACGCGCGCAAGGTGTCCCAGTTGTCTGTCCATCCCCAGGCACGGAAAATTTCAAGTCAGTCTAATGCTTCAAATAGCTCCGAAATGTCGACACTCTCGTCTAAAGTTGACTTCAACGCTGACAGCTTCATGGATGCATTAAAGAATTCAATGGGTGAGCATTGATTGATTTAGAATTTAGATGACTACAAGAATGCTGAAAAAAAAGAAAATTATTTATTACGTTCAGAATTCTGATTATATGGGTGGCAAGACAGATATTCTTTAGTCAGTAGGTAGTGCTACTGTTCTACTACACGTTTTCACCTAAGCATCATTTTATTCCTAGGTATATTCACTGCTTCAATACGTTCTCTTAATCTCTGACTTTGGCATTCAGAGCTCGAGGTGCCAGAGGATGATTACTGGCTCGGCTCAGACGAGGAGTCCGGCATGAGCAGCTACGGCGACGAGTCCAGCGAGGGCGAAGAGCTGCTCAGGAAAACGTCAAATGCTTCACGTGACTCAGCCACGTCGTCTGGCGAGGTTCGTTTTTCAGTTCTTTATACGCTCTATCCACGTATTGAAATGTATCGTGTTGCACATTGTGCTGCAACCCTCGAGTAAATATACGAAATTATTTATAAAGAGGAAGCAACTACGATTCGTCACTGATATGGGACGATGTGAACACTGCACAAAGGAGCGTAGACCTGTGAAACTATCGATGTTTACATTATAGCAAGTAGGAACCATGGACATGGGTGTCCAACACGCTAAAATGCGTGAAAGCTGTTAATATCGCTGCTTTGTAAGTTGAGTGAGCGTCTGGGATTGATTACAGATTAAAGCTGTCTTTAGTATTAGCCGCACAATCTGAGTTAAGTATTGTGTACGTAGGACTCGTTAGATAATAGTCGAGGAAGGTGACACATTTCATAACTATTTTTGTTTTCGCAGCATAACGCCAGACTTGTTTTAAATTCGTTTTATATTACAGGTTTCGAGTTCGTCAAGCCACAAAGACAGCCGTGAGTTGCGCGCTGTTATGCGAGGAGTGGAAGAGGAGCTGCGCTCCACCACCATTGCTGACACGCTCCGACCTCGTCACTCGAGCAGCACTGACGACGATGAGTTCGATGATGTCGAGGACTTTGCGCCCGTCAAGGTGGACCGTCAGACTGTCGAGCAGCTTGTCAAATGCTACGCATCTGAGAAGGGCCAGCAGCCTGGTCCTGCATCGACTCTTTTTAATTTTATCGGGGCAAAGCCTAACTAGAATAATCTCCGTTATAAGATAATACTATAGCTCATACATTTAGATTTACTTTTAGGAATGGTATGTCACTTCGTTTAATAAACCTGTGTTAAACACCGTTGATAAAAAGCAAGGTTACTCGCAAAATTTCATCAGCTCGGAAAGGTGATTAGCAAGATTTTAGTTTGTATCAGCGGTTGTTGATCCAGTTTTGAGCCAAAATCTTGATTCGGGTAGGCATGCATTCAGCGCCTTTGAGGATGATGATGCTTCTTCACAGTAAAATTTATAATGTTACGTTGCAGCATTAACGTATAAAACTCATTGAACTTCTACCCTTAATTAATACAAATTCGCGAATAGCCTAAATACGATCCATTTACGCGCTTAATACCGCCATATCACGCGCATGCAGCAAATGCACTGCTCATATTTTTAAGTAAATTAAGTCATGTGCTCGAAGAACACAGCCGGTTCCGAGCCTGGGATATGATGGCATTCATAAATCTAGTTAGTTTATAAGTTATCTTAATTTCGCTGCACCTGTGATCTTATTAGTTCTTAAGTTACCTTCTCTAATAGCACACTACTATTTACCCCAAATTAGGTCCATCGCAACGAATATGTTATGAGTGAGATGCAACTGTACCCGCTGTAAAATGTGGAGTCAGAGTGGAGCCGGAAAACGTGGAATCGAAGTAAAAAAATGTTTCTTCATTTGAACCAATGACCTACCTGTACTTTTATTTTTTGACACTCATCTCTAGATGGAATTCATATTTAGCGCGTTGTTTGGAGTCCTGAAGTTTGCTTTCCGTTCACTTTGTTTGTAAAACCTTTTTCATGTCCATGGCATGACTAAAACAACATTGAACATTCATTATATACAAAGCGGACAAAAGTTCTTTCAATTAACCCTCTATCGCCTGACACGAGTGACCGGAGCAATATTGCATCACAAGAATACCCAAAAATGATACGTAGTAGTGAGCGCGAAATGACTTGCACTGATGGTTGCCGCCACGTACGACAACTTTAAAATGTTCCCTGTTGCGTACAAACGTCCTCAGGTTTCTACACTCAATATAATTTAATATTATAACAACCTATAACACTCAATGTAGGTTGCTACACTTACGTATAATTTAAGTTGAAAATTATGTTCCCGGAGAGTGACATAGGGCGGTAGAGGGTTGAAACTGAAATTAATTTCCTGAATTACAGCACTGTGGATACTAATAGCCTAGCATTTGCAGAAAGAAGTAGGAACGAACCACTAGGTACTTCTTAAAAATAGAACAGACAATAACAATTTTTAGAAATTTTATTTAACAAATAATAATGCAATGCTATTTGAATTCCATATTAGATCAATAACTTCTTTCTCTCATTTGCGATGAAATAAACATTTAGAATGCACGAGCTCATTTTTCTTTTTTACCCGTCAAATCATTTTCATCAATTGAAGTTTGCTTTGCTTCCTCCATGCGCTCGAGCTCTTTCTGCTCCTTGTCAGAGGCGTACGTAAAGAGGACGGTGCAGTTGGGCAGCTCCTGCTGCAGGTAGCGCGTGATCGCGTCCTTGTCCTTCACGGCCGGGAAGTCGTACAGCAACACATATTCTAACTTCCTGGAAAAAAAAACGATAAATTCACAATTATTAGCATTGAAAGTATATGAATTGATGTTAATAGAAAGCTATGCGGGAAAGAATAAACCTAGTCACAAGGAAATGTAATGAAACATATCTGAAATCAGTTAGGCAAGTTAAGCAAGATGATACAATGGTTTTTCAAAATTAGGAAAATCACAGTCATGATCACACCATGGTTAAGATCTCACGGTAGTTTAGCAAGGTACTTGAGACCCTCGGCAGTAACGTTGCCACAAGCGGACACTTGGAGTTGCTTGAGGCTGTCACGCAGGTACTGCAGCTGACGCAGTGCGTCGTCGTCGATGTAGGTAGCTTTGTGCAGCACGAGGCGCTCTATGTCCTTACAGCCTCCTGGTCCAGTGAGTAGATCTTTGAGTGCAGCTCAAGTTACCGACGTACCTACACGTCTCTGGACCAATAATGACTAGACACTAATTTCTTCAATCTTTTGAACGTGACACACTGCCTTTAATCGGATATGAAAACGCAAATTAACAAGTCAAGCCTACAGACTCGTGGAAGTGTCAAAATTAACAAGTTATAAATTTGGATAACTGCTGTGGTTAGGAGAACAACAGTTGAGGAACAAATAATAATGGTGAACCAATTCGACAACTCAATTCGAAATTAAAATCATGATCTTATGTATACGGAATGAAATAAATATTTCAAAACATGAATAGATCTTGAAATACTACAGAACATACTACGTACTACATGCAATTACATGATATATTACGACTCAAATTGCTCATTAGCAACAATTTGAGGCCACATCAGGGGTTCGGACCTACTGAAATGCTCGAAGCCTATGTTCATGATGGCTGAATCTGTTGCGTCCACCTCGGCTATGGTGAGCCTGGGGCCCCCAACCGGTAGGCTGTTGTAGTCCTTGGTGAATTGTGCATGTGTCTTCCACCTGCAGAGTAACAGACCCGCGAGCTACTGTATTTCATGTCCCGTTCAGTACGGCGCAATAAGCTACCAAATTACCCAAACAAATCTGAACTTTTCATTTGACAGGCCATAAACCAAGGATAGTTATGAAGAATATTACTCATACAATCATTTTTGAAAGCATAGTAAGAAAGTGTCCATCATTAAAGTAACAAATAAACACAAAAGGCTAAGGTCACACTTGAATAGCTGGCTATGTACTAGTACTTCAACAAACAAATTTGTTCCTAGTGTAGGTTCGGTGAGATCGGAGTGAAATTTGCAGACCCACTGCACGGTAATCAAGCACTCATTGTATGAAGGAAAAAGATCTAACATCGTTTATGCAGTCCTTTGGATAACTTTGGGTAACTTTATGCAGTCCTTAACTTTGTTTGCTGACGGTTAGTATAGTGATTGCTTGCGCATTTATATATTAACAAACATAGCAGTGTAAGGTATTGGCTTAGAATGATTAAATTCTTTTGAAGGATTCAAAATGCAACTTTTGCAGCATTTTTCAAGTTATTTTCTATTTATTCATCAGTGCTGTAGTTTCTTGAAATTAATTCATGTTTTTTAAAGTACAAAATGGCTAAGCTGTATTGTGGCTTCTGAATCGGATTTGATAAACAAATTTAAGAATAATTTGTTCATCAAATTATTCTTGATTTAGTTCATTGTTAACTTTTTTCCTTCTATGTGATTTGTTAACTATTTCTATGTGATTTGATGAGAGAAGCTTACCTTACAGCAGCACCACATCGCAGCAGCCACTCGGCACAAGCTCTGTTGGCCCCCACCTCTTGCACGCGGTCCGAGTCATACCTGCAACAAATATAATCAGGATGAATAAACTTGAAATATGAGGAGAGGAAATGTCAATTTAACATTTTTATTCCTGCCAGCATTGATGGACAAAATAGTTTTCATGTTAACTGAGAAAAAAAAACGAATTTCTTCATTGTATGGTTGCGGGAACAGAATATGCTCTTAGGATATATGTAATACTATATATGCAAAACAACACACATCCTAATAATATTTTGAAAAAAAATGGTGTTGATCACATCATATGGTTTTACTATGAAATAAAACTAGGTACATATTCTACTCACAACCATTATTCATTGAGTTGAAAATACTCAACTGAAATATTCAATATCTTTTTAAAAAATCATACCTGAATATTTCACTAACTCACATTACAATTTTATTCTAAAAAAAGAGTATAGTCAGATGGGGTAAGACAGGACCAAAAACACGAACAAGCCTGTAGCATCTATACCATGAATAACTAAAAAACCCTAAACCTATCACAAGGTGTATTTATGCAATAGGCTTCTAAGTTACAACATAAGCTACGTTTTCTATCTAACATAGTTTTCTGTACAAATTAAAACAATAGTGCATTTTTCCCATAAATGAGAAAATGCGCTAAAAAGTGAGCCGGTCCCATCTTACCCCAATGGGACCGGCTGGGGTACGACAGGACCAACTAGTAATTCTTATGTTACAAGGTTTTTAACAAAAATACGAATCTGATATTCAATATTATCCATCTATGTCCTGTGGATATTACATTATTTGATTAAACAACCACTTAATACTGTTTTGTGTTGCGGGAAGTCAACTCTGATATCAGTCACATTGGAGTTTTTGTCATGAGAAAACTTTGTTAAGCATAGTAATAGTGGGTTGGCTTTGGTTCATTGTAGAGCACTGCTAAATGCTTCATGTATATTCCATTAGTGTCATTGTCTGAAGAATTTATCAAATTGTTGATAAAACCAATGGATAATAACTTAAGTGTCAGATGTCATGCGTTTTCTTGCTAACTGCATTTGTGGTGCACTTCTTCAAACATAGCTCATACCCTCTCACAGAGTTGTGATCATAATTAATTTTTATGTTTCACACAGTGATTTTTCCCCCAGCCAATCTTGCACATACTAGTTCTGCAGCTCACTAATGGTGTTACCGGTGTCTCAACGCGGGTGAGACGAACTCGTCACCTACTTTAATTAACTAAATTGGTAACAAAGATTGAGTTCAACTAGTATGATGACTAAAGGTTGAAAAGTAAAATGAAACACAAATACTGGTTCTAATAACTACTGGGATCTCATACAGTAAAAGGGACAGGAAAATGACAGAATAAAGGAAAATGTGTAAAAATGATTAACTGAAGCTGAACTAAATATGACGCCAAGTAAAAATGCACACGGACCAATGAGTGGCTGCGCACTAATAACTGCTTCCAATACATGTCAGTCAGGAGGTTTATAGGGTGCTTTAAAGCAAATCACTCAAGAGGTTAGGGACTAGGGAGAGCTTTCCAGCAAATCACTCAAGAGGTTAGGGAGTAGGGAGTGTGGGACAGCAATTTATACGCCACCACACTTTAGAATAGTATTTGACATAAATTTAGATAATCAGTTACTGATCTAAACCTGACCTGAAAAGAATGAGAATGATTTTAGTTGAATTAATAAAATAGTTAAACACTTCAATAGAGAACACTCAGTACCAACACACATAAGCAAAAGATAAAAATTTTGACCAAAATGCTCCATGTACTGCACAATAATATATTCATTTAAAAACTATTTTTGATAAACTGTAGGGTAAGAGAGGTCCATTTGTGGGGTAAGAAAGGACCATTTGTGGGGTAAGAAAGGACCATTTGTGGGGTAAGAAAGGACCATTTGTGAGGTAAGATAGGACCACTTGCTGGGTAAAACAGGATAATTTAGTGGTCCCGTCTTACCCCATATGCAGTCCTTTTTTACCCCATTTTAGAATACATGTCAGGCAGTGATGGTAGCAGGTAGGAATGCCTAGTATATCTCAAAAGTTGCTTATTACTTGAGGTTACCTGCCTACATCCACAAACCTGGGCAAAAAATTTTTTGTCATTAGACAGAGCTCATTTCCCAAACAAGGTTAACTATTTTCACATAAGTTTTACACCCTTCTTTACATAGGTTCTCTTTAAAAATTAGCCAGAAATACATTATTAGCAGAAGAGGGTTGAAACAAGCACGGAAATGACAGGCAATGATTGTTCTAACATATTCTTTTGTCAAATTAAATTCAGTGCAATTAGAATGCATGCCATGGGCTGGTCCTTTCTTACCCCATGAAACCTGCAATCCTGTCTTACCCTATTTGACTATACTGCTGATATGTCTTTAAATAAAAGTATATACCTATATTATAATGTCTTCAGCTCAGTCCTGTAAATTTATTTATTCTCAACATTTACAGTGCAGTTAGTCATAAAAGTGGTAGGTACTATACTTCCATTTAAGAATGTACCGGTAGTCATCTTAACATGTATTTGTAGCCTAATAGGGAGCAAAAATAAAGAAATTAAGATTCGTGAAACATTTTTTTACCCACATTTCCCTCATTGTCTTCTGTACAAGATTTTAATCTATTAACTTGATACACAACACTGACTATCTTTGAGGTAATGTTTCCTATGCTAAATTAATTGAAAATTATTGCTGCATAAAATAGTTCTTCCTATCAATGATATTAAATTTAATCATTAAGATGACAACAGCTTGGAAAAAGCAGTAGTACTTTTGATAGCATTTCCATCAAAAATAAAATGTGCATTGGATTACGTATCATTTATATGTGAACTATATACCTAGGGTAAATGCGGTATATTCCGACATCATAGGTAATTCCGTCACCTCTCCAGCTTTTCCTGTATATTAAGCTTTGTTTTAGTTCCATGCGTTCATTGATGGTTGAAATGGTGACGTCATACATTTGCGTGTCGAAATACTTTGTTTTGAGAGTCATGTGAAGGCAACAGAACTTACGTAACGCATACGGTTTGTTTTTTATAGTTTTTCATTTCTCAATGCGTCCTTAATGTGTCGGAATATACCGTGTTTACCCTATATACTGTACATACTACATACTACCCATATTATTTTTGCCATATATACCATTGGTGAAACTCAGTCAGTGATTATTCAACCAAAATTTCATCTTTTAACTTCAATATTTTGTTACTGATAGTACTGTTACTCTGCAGTCAACTAATTAAATAAAAAACATCGCAACAAAAGAGAAAGTATATTCATAACAATTTCATCATGTGCCAGCCAATGAGCTGGGAAACAAAGGTCCTAAAATTGTTTGATGTCAATTAAGCAGTCAAACAAAATTTTATTAACTCTAGTGTTATATTGAAGAATGAAGACTTGGATCATGATTACACTGGTGAATAGGATATAGATTATTTAGTGTAATCACATATAGAGAAAATGATTTAACAAAAAATAGCATTCAACTTACTTGTTAAATACAGTATTCAGCCAGCCCCAGATTTGCCTTTTTTCCAGTTGCAGCTTATTTCTTCGTTCATCACACACCTGTGGATATAAAGGTTGAAATATCTGTACCGTCAAAACGGTCAAATAGGGTAACAACTAACAAGGGACGATTTTGAGCATTTTTTGTCAATAACTTCTTACCATGAAACATTTCATAGGTTAGGGTAAACGCAGTATATTCCGTCATTGTGGGTAATTCCGTCACCTCTCTAGCTTTTCCTTTATATTAAGCTTTGTTTTAGTTCCATGCGTTCGTTGATGGTTGAAATGATGACCTCATATATTTGCGCGTCGAACTAATGCCTGTCTCTTATACACATCTAGATGTGTATAAGAGACAGCTTAGCAACTGTCTGCAATGCGACTCTATGAAATCGTTTCTACCAAACATATATTTCCCCTGGCCAGTAGCTTAACTTGTCCTATGCAGTATTACTTAGCTTATGCGACCTGTATTTTATAAGAATTCTGGTGTTCAAGACTCTCGGATAACATGAATATGAGTTATGATACTTTCTGATGAGTTCTGTCACTTTCTGACAACCTGTCTCTTATACACATCTAGATGTGTATAAGAGACAGCCTGTAAGCTTACAGATACAGAAAAAATGCTATGATGCTGCTGATATGAAGCTTGCAGTGGACAAGGTTGTTGTAAATGCTCAATGGCATGTTCATGGATACCTTAATATCACATCAATAATACAGTAATATCCCATCAATAATATGGTACTGTCAACTGGGTGATTCTGCTGTGTTCATAATGATGGCCAAAGTGGGGTAATAAACAGTCATAAACACTGGCCAAAGTCACTCAGGCGTTTATGACCTGGTTTACAACCCTGGCATTTATGACCCCCGGCCTTTATGACCCCGACGTTTATGACCCTGCATTTACTACCCCAGCATGAATCAAAAACACAGCTGAAGTCACCCCAGTTGATGGTAATTAATGTTTATGGTAATATCATATCAATGAAGGAAAAACTAGTAAAAGTCACAGAAAATGTCATTTATTCTACCTCTACATTGTCTACAATGGAAGAGGAGGACTTCAGAGTACTGTTAGTAATGGATGAGTAGGCTCTGCATGCTTCAAATATTTTAAAATGAAGTTTTATTCCCAGTGTCCTGCATAGCCCCGTTCAACGTTCAACGGGGCTACTCGGGACACTCTTTTTTTGCTTCTGGCACCTTACGAATAGCATATGGAATTTTTTTGAAGGTGCCATTCGATAGCCCTCGCAAAGAGCTATAAAATGAGCCTAAACTTGTTTATGACATGTTTCATCGTAAGAAGTTATTAACAAAAAACGCTCAAAACCGTCCCGAGTAGCCCCGGTTGACGGTACGGTTATTTTTTTATAGTTTTTCATTTCTCGATGCGTCCTTAATGTGACAGCCACACTCAGGAAGATGTATATAAACGGGGAAATTTCTCGCGTAAATCAATCTAATTATATTTTTTCGCGCAGACGTTCGTGCAAATCACGGTCATCGAATCCGCGCCGCGCAGCACTCGGCGCGGGCCGCGGAGCTGTCCGACACAGTTCTGATTTAGACACAGTTTTCATCTGAATGGAATGGCAACGTCCTCTGTAGATGATTTCAAGTAACGCTGAACCAGCATTGCCAGATGATGGTATATTTCTATACCAGATTTCACAAATCTGGTATTTTCAAAAGGTATCTGGTATGAATATTTTAGATCTGGTATATATGCCTAAATCTGGTATCTTTCTGGTATTTTCTGACTTACTGCAAATTTACTGTATTTTGTTCCACCTCTGAAGTTTGAACTTCCTCCAGCGTAGGCGTAGATTATATTATTATTTATATGAATTGCCTTCAGAGCGGCGCAATTAGAGCTTTCCCGCCATTTATGGAACTGCAAGTTTACCACAAGTTTTCATGTCAACCGGAACTCGAACACCACAGCAGAGAGTATTTTATGCAGCTAATGAATTTTGCAAACTTTGCTGGAAGAGAGATTATTGAATTTTAGAAAAAATAACTTTTAATTTTTTTGATGCTAGTAAAAGTTTTTTAGGCAGCGTGTATGACCGATTTAAAGGTCGTGACCGTAGGTCACCACGCCCCCAATTCCAATTCCATAACATTTTTTCTAAACTACTGTGCAGATTTGAACAAAACTTTGATGAATATAAAAACCTAACCACCCCACGGTGATGTTTAGCTCGTGACAATTGTTTAGATTTTACCTTTGTTTGCGAGTTTATTTTTAGCGCATTTTCTCATTTATGGAAAAGGCGCGATTGTGCTCGTCATGTCCGTCCGTCCGTGACCATGTTTTCGTCGACGAGAAAATGCGCGCTCTGTCACTCACTGCAGTGAGTACTGAGTTATAGTTTTGATATTTCACACGTTCGTGATTTAAATAGTAATACGTGCTCAAATTCGCACTGAGCGTAGAATTTCTCCTAAAATACTGAACATATTTGAACGAAACTTCGTATGTGAATACTTAACCTCCCAACGGTGATGTTTAGCTCGTAACAATTTTTTCGATTTCGCCTTCGTTTGCAAGTCATACGGATGTGCGGAGAAACGACCGGCATTTCTCAGGCCGAATTTTAAACTTGCATTGACCATGAGCCGTATACGTAAAGCCGTATAACTCGCAAACGAAGGCAAAATTGAAAAAAATGTCACCAGTTAAACATCACCGCTGGGAGGTTAGGTATTCATATACGAATTTTCGTTGAAATCAGTACCGTATTTTAGAAGGAATTTCGTGCTCACTGCGAATTTAAGAACGTATTGCCGTTTAAATCACGAATGTGGCAAAAGTGAAAAAAAAAAAACTCGCAAACGAAGGCAAAATAAAAAAAATTGTCACGAGCTAAACATCACCGTTGGGAGGTTAGGTTTCTATATTCAAAGTTTATTTCAAATCTGTACAGTAATTTAGAAAAATGTCATGCTCACTGAAAATTTCCATGCTCACTGAATTTGTGGAGTCCGGCCGTAAATTTGTCAGAGACGTTGTTGTTCGCCTATGAGGTCACTGCTTTCAGTGACATCACGGACATTAACTATTCACCGAACTGCGATCAAACCAATCCGTCATGTGAATGACGGGTTTCCCACATTCACCATTCCAACAAAAAAAAAAGAATTGATTTTATTAATTAAAAACAGGGAATGGTTTCATGTCAATGATCAGGGCCCCGACCTTAACGCCTCTGATGGTGGCCTACACCGACTCCGAGGGTCACTGAGCTGTGACGCGAGCGAGGAGCGGTCCCACGTCGAACTTTTCTCTGACTGCTGTTAAGCCCGGTCCACACGCTCAGTTTTACACAACGATTTGTCTGCGCAGTTTCTAATCGTTGCAGATAAAACGTTGCGTGTGGACGGGAAAACTGCGCAGTTTTGGAGCCGGCGGGAAAACTGCGCAGTTCCATCGAAATCTGAGCTACCGAGCTGGAAACCGTCGCCTCACAGAAAGCATCGTTGGCAGCATAGCCGAAGCTTCTGGAAGGTTGACTGCGTCGCCGAAGCTTCGGGAAGATTGGTAAATGGCGTCGGCAAGATCTTCAAAGAAGTAAATTTGTCTGCTAATTCGTCTCCGAATATCTTTCAAATATTTATCACTCTCTGCATAGTGGGCACCGCGCAGGTCGTTAAAATGACAATATAAATTCCCACGCACCTGGCACATCTTCCTGACCAAGGTGTGACGGAATATACCGCGTTTACCCTAATCAAGTTTGGGCTCATTTTAAAGCTCTTTGTGAGGGCTCTCAAATCATCAAATGGCATCTAAAAAAATTTCATATGCTATTCGTAAGGTGACAGATGCAAAATAAAAGCATCCCAAATTATAGGCCGCCGGGGCCGGGGGGCCCTTCCGCCCTGGGAAGTTGGGAACAGGGTAATCTGGGACACTTAAAATAAAACTCACTTTTAAAGGGAGCATATCAGTCAAAATCTATTTTCTATATTTAGGGAAGGATCATCTCCAAACTTGGTACACATATGTAAAATCGAAAATGACAATTATTTTGTTCATGTGAATTTTTTTAGGTACCTACCTGAATTAGTAACTTTTGATGTTTGGACCTGGACGAGCAGTAAGATGAAGAAATATATCTTACGGTTTGTTTGATATTTGAATGACTTTCTTGAGGTTTGCGCACAATGGCTGAAAATGCATTTATATCTTTATTAAGAGAGTAAAATTTGCATTTTTCTGCACAAAATAGTACATTGAGAAGTCTACTTCTGAAACAAGGTAACACCATCATTTCGGTATGCAAGGTTGCCAAATGGGCCTTTTTTGGCCAAATTCGACGATTTGGGCCTTTTCTCAATGGTTTAACGGACAAAATCTAATTTTGGTGAGACAATTCCATTCTCCATGAGAAGTTCATTTTGGCGGATGTAGTTTGTTGTACGTTTTGGACAAATTTACGGCAGGACTCGCTGCCGGTGTCCAAATTCAGTGAGCATGGAAATGGAATATCTCTCAAAGTAATAGTCGTGTTTAGCTCGTAATTTTTTTTCAAATTTCACCTTCATTCGTGAGTTAAATTACGATACGTGCTGAAAATTGCAGTTAGGACAAATGAGTATAAGTACTTAGGGATGTGCGTGGACCATGAAGGATGTCAGAGAACAAAGGCCGCGAATTTAAGTAAGGCGAACCAATGGTTGGGTATACTTGGAAGTGCAGCAAAAGTGAGAGCGAGTAAGTATGAAGTATTGAGAGAATCGCTTTCCGCACCGACAAGTGTGGGGTTCGCATACATTTGCGCCAACTCGAAGAGCAATTGAGACGCGGAAGGAGTCGGGATCTAGAAGTGTTCCAAGAGCATCCGAAGGAATAGCGTGAAGCCACAAGCCACTCTTTCTCTTCGCCGCCGCAAGTAGACGAGCCCTGGATATTTGGTCCGCCGCTTCAAAAAGCCGCGCCGCAGAGGCCGCGGCCACAGGCCCATCCCAAGTCCTCTGCCGGCCCAAACTCGCGTCCTCGGGCAAAGCACTACCTGCGTTCCCATTGCGCCACTCATCTACCGCCATCTGCAAACTGTCGTCCTCGGCCAGTCATACATTATGTAAAACAGCATCAACTAGGCCACGGACGGAGAGGAGTGACGATATGAACGCAGGGAGCGCGATGTCCTTTGACATACGGATACCCAGGCCTCCCAGCCGGACCGGCAACACAGCTTGTTCAAGAGATTCGCGCTCGAAGCTGACATTGGTGATGGTCGAGATGGCAGAAACCAACACCTCATCGAAATTGATTTTATTTATGACGGGTTTGTCAAAGTTTCTCGATCTCAGTGACGTATAAAGAAAGCTGAACTGAAAGACGGAAATCCTCGTGGGTCAACCTTATATAGTTCAACCATAAGACAAATCCGTTCACAAAAAAGACCAAAGCGCAAAAATTTGAATTTTGGAGATTATTGTTCCTTTAAATATACAATAAATTTACGGCCAACATGGATTTTTGCCAGACGACGTGGTTGAAAAAAGCACTAATTGTCAAGTTAAAGGGCCTATCTGACCATGCATCTCACAACCCAAATCGTCTTAAGACGAAAAGAATTAAAATCTGCATGCACTTCAAGCATAAGGATTGCCCGACAAATACATTTTGCGGACGTCCTAGTTACAATTATTTAGCAAGATAAAATTGGAGCCATCAGAAGAATTGGTCTCCTCTTCGAAGATTATTTTCCCATATCCTTAGTATGCGTTTCGGACATATGTAGTGCCGCCTCCGGTGGCCAGTATAAAGAATCTAATTAAGTCTAAATGTAAAAGCCTCGTTGGATAGTGTAGCTAAAAGTCTAAAAGCACTCAATCACGATTAACTACGATCAAATTTCCATATGCGCGGTAAATTATAGTATCCAACGTCTGAGCCGACGAAAATTCAAATATTGTTATTCACATGTGAATAAATTCTCAAAATCAATTGCCTCCAGCTAATTCAAGTTGCCGCGTTAAGACAGATCAATCATATAAAACTTAGAAAAATTTATCTAATGGCGTTGTTTCCACACCGTCACCTAGAGTGCATTCAATACTTGGCCCTTCGCAACTGACCATGATCAACCACGAGACCTTGAAGCATGAATCGTGATGAATTCTTTGTTGATTGATCAACATGTCTGAACTACTATGATGAAGCCCGTATTAGGCGGGAATAGCATCATACTGTCAGGACCGTGCAAGTCCAATATTCTTGGACTAGACCGTGACTGGCACGCAAGCGCCAGAAACGTGTGCTAACACACATCAATAAATTAAGTTACAACTGAAATCCGTTGGTAATGTAACCTAACGCCAGGCAAATTATCCTCCACAAATAGTTACATATTTCTGAATTCTTCAACCTCAAGTTATACAAGAATGAGGAGAAAAAAAAATTTTCAAAAGTGGAATAAATATTTATTCCTCCTCAGGCTTTGCCCCCTTGGACGCCATTTTTTGGATCTTCATGACACGAGCAACGATGCGCTGTTCTTCAATCAGGAAAGCTCGCAGAATGCTGTAAGGAACAGGAAAGTTTAGTGGTGAGTACCCAACAGAGCTCATTCGGCCAGGCAAAAACTCCTCATAACCGAGTTCTGATTGTCGTAAGGCATTGATGGGAGCGAAAATTTCATGTAAAAAAATCAACTCAAAACATGCAAGCAAATAATTTATGACGTAGAGCAAAATCCTTATGACGCAATAATTTGAATATGACAGTCAAACTATAGAAACTTAATAATCCGTTAAAAGTTGAAGCTCTCTATAAATCTACTTACTACCTTTGCATTGTTTGTTTTATTCAAAAGATTGCGGTGTCTATGCAAATTTCTAGCAGCCACCTCAGAAACATCAACATAGAATAATTAGAAAAATTAATGGTTTGGAGCAAAGAGTTGGGCAGAACCGAACCATCATCTAACATCCTTTTAGTATATAAAGCTAAGTAACAAACGTTGAAAAAACTTCAGTCAAGATTTGGCAAACTTACTTCATGGTAAATATTTTCTAAATCATTTTATTCGAGAAGCCATTCATTATTTCTTTCGTCATTGAAACAACAAATGTCACAAAAAGTTATTATCGCTCATTTATAGACATTTTATAATAAAAAAAAAGCTTCGGAAGACAAGTTAAGCGCGTTGAAATACCAACGATGGCATCTTAACAGACCGCTAAGAAGCCACAAACTACACTTTAAGGTGTCCTAAAAATTTAACATTTCATGTGGATTTTTTCATTTTACCTAAACTTTTTTGTCACCATCCAAGAACCTAGAGCAGGACAACTTTAAACAATTTTAGAAACCAATCATGGTGACGAGTAATTACCGGAATGAAATAATAGTCAAAATTAAAAACTGACACAAAACTGAAAGGTTGAATTTCTCAATTCCAAATTGAATCCCAATACAAAATGGCATAACCAAATTCAGGGTGCATCTCTAATTGTCGTTTTAACCATACTTTTCGGGACATACTACTGGTTCTTGACGTATATATACAGTGGGGGGAAATAAGTATTCGTGCACTTGAAAAATCGTATTTTAATGTATGTAAGTACACAAACTGAACAGGAGAAGTGATTTATATTATGTATAGAGGTGTATTGTATTCAAAAATAGCATCAATAGAAATTAAATCTCAATGCAACAAAAATTAATGCAACATGTTAACTTCTTCGGGTCAAAAAAGTATTCGTACAAAACAACTTAAAAGTGAACATGTTGCATTGTTTTTTGTTGCATTGAGATTTAATTTCTTTTGATAGTATTTTTGAATACTATGCGTCTCTATACATAATTTAAATCACTTTTCCTGTTAAGTTTGTGTACTTACATACATCAAAATACGATTTTTCAAGTGTACAATATTTATTTCCCCACACTGTATATACGGTATATTGGCATCCTAGTAGCTTTCCAAGACAAGAATTCTCCATGCTGCTGCTGTCGCCACTTACCGGTCTTTGACGCAAGCATGACAGTACTGTCCACCATAGGCTCTGTTGACAGTCTTGAGTCGCTTGCTCATGCGGTGCAGCTCACAGGGGCGGGCAGGCTTGATGCCAGGCAGAACTCGCTTGCACTGAGCACAGTGAGGGGCCTTGGCACGCTTCTTCACATGCTGGTATGTGAGGCGACCTCCCGGAGTGCGTACACTGCAAACAACAATGTATGTTAACAACAATACCGCAATATATTCTCACTACAAACATCAACTGAGCAATTTACAGACGTATGGTAATGTGCTCATATGAAGATTGACAAACGTTCATTCTTCATAAATGTAGCTATGTATTATGCACCACAACTAATACTAATGTTGAAATGTTCAATACATCATTAATATGCTACGTAAGAAATTATTGATGGTTATAACTTGAGAACTGCCAGAATCTAGAGCACATGACCAGACTCCAATGGAGTTGTTACAAAATAAAATGAGATAAGCCTGAAATAATAACATCTATAATTGTCCAGTTGTACACCTGCACTTCACTGAATGGAAAGTGGCCTAGATTAGCACAACTAATTTTAATCTTGTCCAAAAGCATAACCTGAGCTGCTCATGCAGCACTGGCAGTAATTTGGACAGTTAAAATAAAGGATTGACTCAACAGCTCCTTGATGACTTGTGAAATTTTTACCACCTTTATATAGTACACAAGAGCATTTAAATTGTGTTATTACACAATTACATGCTCAATATACTAGATATGTAATTTGCTCCATGCCTTTTGAGATACATCACCAAGATTCGAAATTTGTTTTTTGTTTTTCATTTTCTATCATAACTGAATGTGTTCGTCTAGCAAATAACATGGGTTCTTCAATTTTGCATTATACTAAAAATGATTAAGAATCCGAGCTGGAAATTGCTGATCATATGCAGTGGTAAAAGGCTTAAGTTTTGGTGCAAATTTCTGATTGCTTGATCCATTCCTCATAAGATAGAAGAACCAAAGTTTTTTTCCGTGCATACACATGATACTGATGCTGTCAGGACATAACCTAAACTCAGTATTTTGCTGGCAGTGGGAGAATAGCAAGGCATTATAAAACTGAGTGGGATGAAAGAATTGAATCATAAATGAAAAATTTAATCTAGAAGATAAATGAAAACTCGTCACATTTCGGTACAGGAGGCATGTGTAAATTCCAAGTTAAATGGGAGTTTCAGCAATTTTTTTTTTTATTTAACATACTATTTTTATTCATAACACGATTTAGATAAAAGAATAAAAAATTGTACAAGTTCTTGATCCTGGGTAATGCCAAGCTAACAAGTTCAGAACTACTAATTATGAAGGAAAATTTTGTTTTTGCATATATGGTACCAAAAGTACTAAGCTTCAGGCTTTCACAAATTTCATTAAGGCGAACATGTCGTCAAAAACTTCATTATTTGCAAGAAGATCATTATGAAACTTGGTACAAATATGCAAAATAGGAATCAATGAATTTTGGTTCATGTAAATATTTTGAAAAATGAAGGAAAACAAGGAATTCATAGTTAAAGGACAAAAAAGGCCTAAATGCGAGTAATACAGTATAAATCTATCTCCCAGGATTTTCAGCTACAACATCAAGAGACATATCATTTGATGGTTAAGACCACATCTAAAGATCATCTGGTCATTTTTTCATTTTTTTCCCCCTTTTTGACCCCCTCTTTTTTCAATATATAATCAAAACCAAACTAGCTGAAACTTAATTAAATTATAGACTTTGTCACTAAGATTTTTCTTCAGATGAGAAAAATATATTCAATGTCCATTACAATACAACATTGCAAATGGAAAATTAAGAAGTATGCAAATTTTCATTATAATTTTTATTTGCCTAGTCAAGTATAAGTGCCATGTTAAATTATGATATGTAGCAAAACCAATCTTAATTGCCATGACCAGAATTGGAATTGTCACTGAATATGTCTCAAGTTACTATAAATGTCTAAACTAAAAACAATGTCTACACCCCATCATGTGGTTTGTCTTGTTATGTCCCGTTATAAAAGTTATAAATTCCAGGAAATTTAGAACCTCTTATTTTAACTGGGACATCTTGCCTCAGTATTGTCCCCAAATTACCACAAAGTGCTGATGAAAATTGTCCTGGCTTTTATTGCAAACTGGGACAAAGCATCTTGTCTTGCTTACAACCTTGTGGCAATTGAAGGTATTGATTTTCTGCTTGCAGAAAATCCTGTTTTGAAGAAACTAATGAATGCACAAACATGACTTGAGACTTGAAATGCACAGAATTTGAACTTTTAAATGGCAAGACTAAGAACCAGAGAAGCAAAATATTCTATTCATGTCCAACATGCTTCCCTTAGTATCAGACAGTCATCTAGCAAACAAGATCTTGCACAACATTTTTAGTATCGGTTACAATGATCAAGATGGCTCTGGTGCAACGGCCTTCTCGTGGTGGAGCCGACTGGGTCGTCTATCGACGCCCCAGCAAACTGTTGTGGAACCCCTCCCTGCCCCATCCCGCCGCGCGGGGTTTTCTCCACCGGAGCGGTCTCTCCCGGCCAGCCTGCTCCGGATCCTTCTTTTAATGGCCGGAATAAATCCCAACCCTGGGCCTCGAATCTGGATTTGCGCAGTTTGTAACAAAACCATAAACAAAACGCAATATTCCATACGCTGCCGGACATGTATAGACCTTTGGAGGGACCCAGCTGCGGTCGTGCGTTGGCTCCAGCCACGGCTGGATCAATGACGCCGGGATCGGGCGCGGGGCAACAACAACAACATCAAGATTTTACCCAAGCTTGGAAAAGTCTGCAAGATAGTTTGAATATTTCAGCTGAGCTAACAAATTCCTTTCCATTTTATGAAAAGTTTACAAAGCTACCATCAGAAGCAACAGCGCTGCAATTCAATATAAGCTACACTCAAGAATCTTTCCCCATCAGCCATTGGCACTCATTGCCCAATGCATGTCGACCATTGCCAGTCATAGTGGCAGAAAATTTTTTGTTGCCCTTCCTGAAGTTCATTCAAAGGGTAAACACACCATATTCTGACACCTTGAGGACGTAGCAAGAAATAAATGGCTATAATTAGATCACCGTAGACGCAACTTAGGTTCTGATTGGTTTACATCACTCTCAAAACATCACACTATGCGCCAGCAATGATGAAACGTCACCAACTGTTGCCATATTTATTTGAAGCCTTTAGAATTCAAACCTACAAAATCCCTGAATTCCAACACTGTGTGTGACTAAATTTGGCATATTGTGAGACTAATTCCAGCAGCGCTTCAAACTATCAATTTGTAATCCTGGCACCCTGTATTGGAATTCCAACGCCCTGTGTGAGCTGTATCGGAATACAACACAGCTTAGAACGATCTTTAATTAAGAGCGATTAAGCTTTTGAGTAAGAAAATTTCAATTTTTGTACACAGCTTGGAACAAGCTGTGTGTCTAATTCCAAGCTGTGTCAGAACTAGTGGTAATACTTTAGATCAAGTGCATCCATAAAAAGGGTGTTATTTTCAATTATATGTTTTTTGGGGTGTAGATAAAGAATCTGAAATCCGTTTTTGGCAGTTGGCGTCAGAAATTTTTTAATGAAACCTGTTCCTAACTGGACCTAACCTGTGAGGTTTTTGTTGATTGGCTAGGTTTTTCTGGCTGCGGGACTGAATCTAAACATAGAAAAAACCTATTGGCTAGGTTTTTCCGGCCGCCAGACGGACTCCAAACATAGAATAATCCCAGCCGATCAACAAAAACCTTGCAGGTTAGGTCCAGTTAGGAACAGGTTCCATTAAAAATTTCCGATGCCGACAGCCAAAAACGGATTTCAGATTCTTAATCTACACCCCAAAAAACATAATTAAAAAAAACACATTTTTTTTATGTACTTAATCTAAAGTAATACCAAATTAGTTTCTATGTGTCTAAAACCATTGCTTAACCTAATCATGTATTAATTTATTTACCACTTGAAATCAGCATATACAAGTATACTTAAAGGATTCCTAATATATTCACAGACTTATTAATAAGTCTCAAACCACAATATTCTTTCTACACAAACAGTTTATCACTATTTGGTAGAGCAAGGTCAGCTATCAACTTTGACACATTTTTCAATGTTCTCACTGGGTGACGTGTTGACCCAGACCTAGTGTTTGGGCAATATTATGGCACACAATAGTAGGACATCACTATTTCAACCATCAACAAATGCGTGGAACCAAGACAAAGCTTAATATAAAGGAAAAAAGTTGAGAAGTGTCAGAATTACCCACGATGTCGGAATCTACCGTGTTTACCCTAGCTGACTTGGACTTTTGCTCTGCGGATCTCAACATTTTCCTGCTAGACCTGGCGTTTTTCGGAAATCTTGCGCGCAATAGTATGACGTCACTATTTCAACCATCTACGCATGCATGGAACTAAGTGTAAGACCAAGCTTAATAGGATCCAATAAAGGAAAAAGTTGAGGGGTGTCAGAATTACCCAGTACCATAGTGGCAAAGCAGAGTTTTTTAGACTATCTCAAGTTCATTTTTGAGTCCTAAAAGTATATGTGGGCTAGACCAGTAAAGTATCATGAAACTAGCATTATCATATTTAAGAAATTGGTTAAAATCTCGAGTGAGCGAAGAAATTAAAAATGAACTGATTCTAAAAAATCTCTGGTTTGTCACTATGCCCAGTACCCACAGACACAGTGTTGAAATATGGTGTGTTTACCTCAAGTCTATAAGTAGGGCAAACATGGTATATTCCGATGCTTCTCGACTTTTTTCCTTTATATTAAGCTGTTTCTTAGTTCCATGCATTCTTTGATGGTTGAAATATTGACGTCATACTTTTGCGCGCCATACTAGTGCCAAACACTAAGTCTGGGCCGTCTGGTGGTAAAATCTTGAGATCCAACGAGACAGTGCGACGAGACAGTAGCATCACTCAGTGAGAACATTGAAAAATGTGTCAAAGTTGATAGTTGACCTTGCTCTACCAAATAGTGATAAACTCTTTGTGTAGAAAGAATAGTATGGTTTGAGACTTCTTAATACATCTGTAAATATATTAGAAATCCTTTAAGTATGCTTGTATTTGCTGATTTCAAGTGGTAAAAAAATTATTAGATGATTAAGTTAAGAGACCATTTTAGACACATAAAAACTAATTCCGACACAGCTTGGAATTAGACACACACAGCTCGTTCCAAGCTGTGTGCAAAAATTAACATTTTCTTAATTAAAAGCTTAATAGCTCTTAATTAAAAGCCTAATTAAGTAGTGTTCAATATTCAATAGTGTTGTAATTCCAAGCTGTGTTGTATTCCAATACAGCTCACACAGCGATCGGAATTCAAACACAAGAGTGTCGGCATTACGAATTAGTAGAGTTTGAAGCGTGGCCGGAATTAGTCTCACAAAATGCCAAATTTAGTGACACACAGTGTCAGAATATATGGATTTGGTAGGTTTGCATTCTAAAGGCTTTCAAATTAATATGACAACATTTTGTGACGTTTCATTGTTGCTGGCACATACCGTAAAATGGGGTAACTTAGACCGGCGGGGTAACTTAGACCACTTTTCGTTTTTTTAACAAAAATCCCCACAACTCAAAAACTATTTGACATAGAAAAATTTTGTTAATGGGCATAAAAGGCCTAAGACTATGAGAGGCAGGAGTCAGCAATTTATGGTGAGTGAAGCTAGAGTATAGACCTGTATTTTGCAGGTTTCAATTTAAGTTTAATTTAGCTAGTAAAAAAATGGCATCATTTGTAAAAAAAAAGTGGTCTAAGTTACCCCATTTTACGGTAGTGCGGTGTTTTGAGAGTGACGTAAAGCAAACAGAACGCAAGTTGCGCGTAGTGTATTTCTTATAGCTATTCATTTTGTGCTGCGTCCTTTAAGTGTCAGAATATACCACGTTTACCCTAACTAAACTAGTAGGCCTAAGTATCGTGGACATAGTGGGCTTAGTGGCAAACCAGAGATTTTTTAGAATCATTTCATTTTTAATTTCCTCATTTACTCACGATTTGAACCAATTTCTTATGTATGATAATGGCAGTATCCATGATACTTTACTGGTCTACTCCACTGTGCAGAGAGTGGATGAATATTGCAAGATATTTGGCGACGCTTCACTCGCTTCAGTAGCAAAATTTATGCCTTCAGGCTTCAGAAGATCTTGCCGACACATTTAGATTGAAATTCTTGCATTCAATATATTTGTCAGTCTTTGGCAACTATTTAAAAAAAGTAAGGTTTCCGATATGTTGGATGGATCAGGATGCAGTGAAGCTTGTCCGGAAATCAGTTGCGATGAGTTCCCGCTAAAAAAATGTAAACATCAAGCTTACGATTACATAGTTGCGGTCACATTAGAGCGGTCAGACTGCATGATGACATGTTCAGTTGACACTTGCTGTACAATTGAACTGTTTTTAGAGTAAAATTAGCCTAGTTATTTTGGGTAACACATGCACGCCGCTACTGCACGGTGCATGCAACCTTGTAAATAAGTTAGTGGCTTGTAGGTAAATAGTTTTTCATTACTAAGCCTAAATGGCTTTTCATGAAAAATTACCTGGCAACGCATCTCAAAATTACCTGGCAACGCTTAGGGCTTAAAAACCCATATATTGGCAACGCTGCATCCACTCTCTGCACCCTGGGGAGTGGGGTCTACTTATAGCCTAGGACTCAAAAATAAACTTGAGGGAGAGTCTAAAAAACTCTGATTTGTGATTCGTGGATCCCAGTATTACCTATCTTACCAACTTAAGCAAAAAGTTGATCAAAATAGGTATTAAGTAATGAGGAAATTTAAAAATGAATGATTCTAAAAAAAATCCCTTAGTTTGCCACCATGCCAGTCAGTTAAATTGAGTCAATAGTAGTAAGAGACTGAGTAGCTAGCTGGGTAGGAATACTGGCAAAGTGGCAAAAAATAATAAAAGTAGAAATAAATAGCTCAAAACTAGGTAGCTACAATTTGTGAGGCTGTTTCATTGCCACCAAAAGGCACATACCTAATGAATAGGAAGCTAGGGTACCTAGGTAATTCAAAACAAGAATCAAATTGTGACCAAATCAGGCTTTGAACTTCAGCAGTTCAGCATTCAACATAAAAATCATGCCACAACAACTTATTTAACATAAAACCATATAAAATGAGTAATCTAATTTGGCAAAGCAGAGTAGGCCTACCTATTTTTAGGATCTTCAAGTTCAATTTTGTTTTTATTTCATGAGTAGGTACTAGCCTAGACCAGTCAGTAGGTTTATTTTTTAAGAGAATAAGAGTAGACCAGTCAGAGTAGCCTAACACTGTAACAGCATTATCATACAAAAGATATTGATTTAACTATTGAGTCAATGATAAATTAACTGATAGGCTAGCTACTAAAAAATCGCTGGTTTACCACTTTTACGAGTTCATCAGGAAATCACGACTTACATTCTAACTTTGTTGCTCTTCGTCCTGTACGTGTGTCGCCTACGGTATGTTAATCTCGGAGCCATTTTGGGCCTGAAAAATTAGAACTAGATCAATAAATTTATTATTTCACAAAAGGTTAAACTATATTACAAAATTTATCTTCAAAAATTAAGCACCACTGTTTATATACTTTCACGTACAGCCTCGGTCCCTGATCGCGTAAGACAGAATGTTGCCAAAAATCTAACAAACCCAATTTAATGTTTATAGGAAACCGTAAAATAATGGCTGCAGAGCCCGCTGATAATCTTCAAAAATGTTTGATCAAAGTGATTCAAAGGAGATAAAAAGTTTTTTTCTTTCAATGCTTTACAAAATGTAATGCATACTTGAGCATATTCATCGAAGAATGATCAATTATATTGAATTTTAATTAAATTTTGTTAACGTATCATTGTGCTACGTTTTTCACGCATACTAAGAGAATAAAGGAAGAACGTTAAGTTACAATACAACTCCAATTTTTCAATGCAACTATTGTCCATCCGCTGAAATATCAATTGGTTTATTCTATATACCTATGCAAATTCTCTTCACATGTCTCATTCTATAATACGGTTTGTTTGAACAAATTTGTAAAAAAAAAAATCGGAGAACAAATTATAATACAATACATTAGGAAGTGTGTGAATACCCTAATTACAGAATATGAATTTTAATTTATTCTCAGAACTCATCACTTATTGACCGAAGGAAAGATCAGTTTATGGGATTTTTTCGAGATAGCTTATCCCCAACTCAATACGACTTTGTCTTAACCAACAATGTCATCCAAAAATATTAGTAATGTGTTCTAAATCGAGAGTTCTGGTAACTCTCGTAGCGGACACAAATGAAAAATAGTCTGACTGCAAAATATCCCAATAATAATCTAATAATAATAATAATAATATTGATAATAATAATAATAATGATAAAGAAATAATAATACTATTCATAACTAAATAACAACAAAATTAATACTAATAGTTATCAGTGGTAGCAGTGTCAGCGTAGAAGATCAGGCCATATACAGGGTGTCCCAATAAAAAAACGATACCCAACTTTGAATGGCTGTAACTCGACAAGTGATAGAGTTAAAAAATTTTGGAAGGTCAGGATTTGTTCCCTATGTTTTTCTGCATCTCTCCACCAAAAATCAGAAAGATCGATGTAGCCATAAGCGTTTGATAGAACTTTCAGTGATATGTGCTAAAATCGTGCTTGCGCAAAGTTTTAGTATGATCATTTTGCATACTCATTACGTTGTCTTGACATGTTTTCTTTTCCATGTGTGGTTTTTAGCGCATTTTCTCATTTATGAAAAAAATGCACTATTGTGCTCGCCATGTCCGTCTGTCCGTCCGTCCGTGTGTCCGTCTGTCTGTCCGTCTGTCTGTCCGTCTGTCTGTCCGTCCGTGACTTCATGTTTTCGTCGGCGAGAAAATGCGCTCTCTGTCACTCGCTGCAGTGAGTACTGACTTCCATTTTTTGTATCTTTGGTGAGACAAAAACATCGCAATCTTTGGTGAGAGGCAATCATGACAATCTTTGGTGAGAGGCAACAATGACAATCTTTGGTGAGACACAATCATGGCAATCTTTGGTGAGACACAATCATGGCAATTTTTTTGTCTCACCAAAGATACAAAAAATGTAACTCAGTACTCACTGCAGTGAGTGACAGAGAGCGCATTTTCTCGTCGACGAAAACATGAAGTCACGGATGGACAGACAGACGGACAGACAGACGGGCAGAAGGACGGGCGGACAGACGGACATGGCGAGCACAATAGTGCATTTTTTCATAAATGAGAAAATGCGCTAAAAAATAAAACAGCGAAAAGAAAACAAGTAAGAACAACGTAATGGTTATGCAAAATGATCTTACTAAAACTTTGCGCGAGCACGGTTTTAGCACATGTCACTGAAAGTTCTATCAAACGCTAATGGCTACATCGATCTGTCTGATTTTTGGTGGAGAGGTGGAAAAAAACATAGGGAACAAATTCTGACCTATCAAATTTTTTTAACTCTATTAATTTTAGAGTTACAGCTATTCAAAGTTGGGTATCGTTTTTTTGAGACACATCAACTGTATAACGCCTGTTGCCGATTCTGAACATGGCAGAATTTTCATAGCTTATGGCGGCCTCGAACACTGAACCCGCTGCTCCAATTTTGTTGTGCTCAACCGCCCAGCCACCTCGTCGATTTTGACTCGGACTGTTACAGGAAGCTGGGATCGAACCCGCAATTCATTGCTCCAATCATGGTATTCTTAATTTTAGCCAGCGGGCCACCATGACTAGGTACCTATAAAGCAATGCTTTATTGCTGCAGTGTAACTCTACAAATAATTTACATTTAAAAATTACTTTTTAAAGACAACACTTCTAAAAAATCCAGTGTCTCCAATGTAAAACATGTACAATGAATTTCTAATTTTAATTTCGAATATCGAAAAAATTAATTATTTAATTACTTTAAAAATACATAGAAGAAATTAAGTTATCAAAATTATTTATTCTGTCAATTGATTCATGCATTGTGTCTGACTTTACGCAAGGTTGCAAAATTTCAGATAGATTAGACAGCTAGAAGTGTGTTAATTATCGATTATAAGATTTGTAGCAGAAAAAATTATTTTGTATATTGAATTTTTTTTAATTTTTAAAATTATTTATTTTGTCAATTGATTCATGCATTATCTCCAACATTACGCAATTGTTCAAAATTTCATATCGATTGGAGAGGAAGAAGTGTGTGAAAAATCGATTATAAGATTTGTAGCAGACAGACAGACAAGAAGTGAAGAGAAGTGTTGTAAAAATAATATGCGTTTAAAAATTACTTTCTAAAGACAACACTTCTGAACAATCCAGTGTCTTGGATGTTACACATGTACAATGAATTTCTAATTATATTTTCAAATATTGAAAAAATTAATTTTTCAAAAATTTTTCGGATATAAAAATTGTGTAAATTTTCAAAATTATTTATTCTGTTAATTGATTCATGCATTGTCTCTGACTTTCTGCAATTGTGAAAAATTTCAGATCAATTGGACAGGTCAAATTGTGTCATATATGGATTATAAGATTTGTAGCAGACGAAATTATTTTTTAATTTTTTTTAATAATGAAAATTTTTTAATTTATAAAATTATTTATTCTGTCAATTGATTCATGCATTGTCTCCAACTTTACGCAAGTGTGCCAAATTTCAGATCGATTGGACAGGTAGAAGTGTGTTAAATATCGATTATAATATTTGTAGCAGACAGACAGACAGACAAACAATCAAGAAGTGAAGTTAAATAGAAGTGTTGTAATAAGAACCGGAAAGCCTTCTTTTTGTATGCTAATTCGAAGTGTAAGACAAAGAACGGTATTGCTGATTTGAAAGTAAATCAACGAAAGATATCTTCTTATGAGGGCAAGGCCAATGTTCTAAATCACTTGTTTAGCAGCGTCTTCACAAATGAGGACTTGAACAGTATTCTAGCTATTGAAGAGCGACCAGTGGGCTCGAAGTTGACTAGTTTTGAGATACACGAAGAGGAGGTCCTCAAGCGCCTGGTCTCCCTGAATCGTGAATCCCAACAAGTCATCTGGATCAGACGGTTTCCACCCTAGATTACTCAACGAATTAGCAACAGTCCTGGCCGGCCCTTTAACAGTATTCTTTCGGAAAACCTTAATCGAAGGGACTTTGCCGGGCGACTGGAAGGAAGCCCAAGTGACACCCCTGTTCAGAAAAGGTGACAGAAGTAACCCCGGTAACTACCGTCCTGTCAGTCTCACAAGTGTTGTGTGTAAGGTGATGGAATCGGCTGTGAGGGATAGGATTATCGACCATTTGATTGTTAACCATCTTCTATCAGACTGTCAGCATGGCTTTATTCCTGGCAGATCATGCACTACAAATTTCCTGTCTAACTTGAATAATTGGACTCGCCTGCTGGACGAAAGGGTGCCAGTGGATGCAGTGTACCTCGATTTTGCCAAGGCATTTGATTTCCGCATGAGCGACTGTTACGTAAAGGGAATTCTTTGGGAATCGAGGGAAATGTACTACAATGGATCAGGAATTTACTAGTTGTCAAAAGACAACGTGTCAGCATTAACGGAACCGTATCAGACTGGGCATCTGTGCGCAGTGGCGTACCGCAAGGAAGCGTTCTTGGGCCTGTTTTGTTTGTCGCCTATATAAACGATCTACCAGAAGCGTGTGCTCCATAAATGCCGACGACACAAAAGTTTATAATACAGTTAAGGATGCGTCAAATAAAATTCAACTGCAAAATAATCTTGATAGTTTTTTTGACTGGGCTGATCCTGCACCACTAACCTCTTGTCGACTCTGAACGAATGGACCCGCCTGCTGGACGAAAGGGAGCCAGTAGATGCAGTGTACCTCGATTTTGCCAAGGCATTTGACAGTGTCCCACATGTGCGGTTGTTGCGTAAATTGAAGTCTTTGGGAATTGAGAAAAATGTACTCAAATGGATCAGAGATTTTCTAGTAGGGAGGCGACAACGTGTCAGTATTAATGGGTCCGTATCAGACTGGGCTTCAGTGCGCAGCGGCGTGCCACAAGGAAGCGTTCTCGGGCCTATTC